TACTGCCATGCCCACATTGGCAGTTGTTTGTAGTGATGGCAAAGGGAAGGCTTTGGCTCCATCCTACCTTCTGGCCCTCCTGCCCCATTGCAGGGAGCCGCACCTGTATTGCAAAGTAGTATGGTAGTGATTTGAAACATTCAGGAAGCTTTCTGAAGAACCTGAATTACAAATGGTGAGTACCTTAGCTACTGGGAGAATCTTGCTCAATATTCTTATTTAATTTTTTTAATTTATGAGAACTTGATATTAAAAGAAGACTCATAGGCAGAAAGTGTTGAAAGAGGAAACAAAGAGAATGTTGGAGAGTACTGAACCTAGTTAAAGCCCTGTATCCACAAAATAAGTTGTGGCTTTGTAAATTCACTCTAAGTCTTGTACATCTGTGGAAACATAAATCATTAAAGAGGTTACTGTGACCTTGGTTTCTTCATAGCTTTTGACATAAAAGGTCTATGCATCAGAATGCATTTGTTTGATCATGTTGTTGACTGATTAAAAATACTTCATGCTCCTAGAACCTCTTATGGAATGCTGGTTAGGGGCCGGTTGGTGCCACATGTAAGATGTACTCTGGAGGCATCTCTCAGAATGGATCCCTCTGGCCAAGAGTGGTTCAGAGAATGCAGTACAGGTCTTAAGGCTTACATGAGAACTTGTCTTTCCTGCCCCTTGAATCAAGATATCCTTTGTCTGAGGTACCTCCTCAGTTGCCAGTGGAGATGTGAAAAAGAGAAAGTGGACATGGCCAGCTCAGTTCAAGGCAGTCAGCCTTGTGTAAGCCTGGGGCAGAAGTGAAAATATATAAGTATCCTGCTTTGGAGCTGATCTTCTAGCCAGGTTCTGCCGTTCCAGGCCCAGGGCATTCATTGTAAAATGTGGTCCAATGAACATCCTGGCACTGATCAAAGAGATCAACAGTTCCTTCTCTCTTGGGGCCAGGGAGGGAACTGAAAATCATTACGTCTGTAGATCCCTTCTCAAAATGTGGAGTCTTATAAATTAGAGATATTAGATTTAACAAATAGAAATATAGGACACCCAGCTAAATTTGAATTTCAGATAGGTAAGGAATCATTTTTATAATATAATAATGCTACATGTAGCATTTGGGCCATGATTATACTAAAATATCATTTACCGTGTATCCAAAATTCAAAGTTAACTGGGCATTGGGTATTTTATCTGGCAACTCTCTTCCCATTAGTATTTTTTAGGTGAGTTTCATGATGGTTCATTGAGACTGATAGAATTAGATTTGCAAACCTTGGTATTATTGACATTTTGGGCTGAATGCTTCTTTGTCATGGAAGGTTGTCCTGTATGTTGTAGGATGTTTAGTTGCATTCTTGGCTTCTACTCACTGGATGACACTAGCACCTGCCCCCCTTTACTGTGACAATTAAATATGTTTCGAGACATTGCAAAAATCACCTCTAATTGAGAACCACTGCTTTAGAGGTAGTGGCAAAAACAGGATTATGAAGCCTGTCACAATGGTAAACCAGTAGGTGGCCCTTTTATTTAAAAATGATGCAGGTCAGTCCTGCCCCTCCTGCATTCTCATTACTTCCTCACACTCTAGACTGCTTCTCTGTAACATTAGGAGCTGTTTAGACGTATGTAGAGGAGCCCAATAGTACAATTTTAACCCCATGTGAATTATAGTCACTAGGAAGTCATTCTCTGTTTGCTTTACCTTTCTACACAGCTCACATGAGGTTATATATGGCAGCTCTTTAGGTTTAACTCAGGTATTTTCTTCAAAGAACACCCAGCACACTATTAAACTAGGTACTTATATTTTATCAGAGGTAATTCATTTGTGTAGCCTGGGTGAATTTAGCATTTAATGGGCAAAGCTCTTACAGTCAAACTACCTTACCGAAGTGTACATATTATTGTTTTGCTCAATTTTGTAGAAGGAGAAACTTGGAGGCAATGGAAAATGAATTCTCTTTAAACATTTCCACCTATATATTTATCCTTGAAAAAAATGCTGATACACCTTTATGTGATATTTCTTATTTGTAAGGTTTCTCTGCCTAAATACGTGTTCATTCTGCCTTAGAGAAAACTAAAGTGGCTTTTGCAATATTAACTTTGATTGTCTGGCATTGATAATTAATTTTGTAGGCCTACCAGCTTATGTGGTGGGAAAATTTTATTAGCAAGTTAAATGTAATTGGTTTCTTCATTGCTTTCCATATTTTGTAGGCTTTTAAAAAGCAATGGTTTTATAAAAATCCATTGAGCAAAGCAAAGACAATGTGCCTATCTGGTTACCTTACTGTGGGAAAAATCTCTGTTCTCAATTCTCTATAAGGCTGTATTTTCTCTAATCTCTCTTTTCTAATGTTCTTCCTTAAATAAGAAAATTCCCTAAGAAACCCACCTTAAAGAATAACTATCTTCATTTGTAGTCACAGGTCTTCATCATTGCAGAAAAATTCTGATCCTTTTCAGATTCTGATACTTGTATTAATCAATAACCACATTCCTTTTTCATCTGTCTTACTTCTACAATTGCATTTTCACAGCCGTGTACATTTTATTGTGTAAGAATTCAATTGAAAGAGCCATTCATGTTTGCAAAAAAGATGATGTTTTATTATCGGTTATAAAGAAAAGAAATTTCACACTTTGTATAACCGACCCTTTTTGTTATAACACAGTGAATTCTGAAAGTGGGGAACAAGTTAACAGACTGGAAAGAGAGGCCACAGAAAGACCTTGTAGTATTCTGACCATCTTATAAATAAAATAAGACCTGGCAATTTTTATGTCTCTAAAAGACAAGCAACCAATTCACATTTTAAATGCATAATCTTTGTTCAATTTGAGAATATGAAGACTAAAAAGAATAAGGAGATGATGGTTAAATATTTAACAACAATATGATATGCCTTTTCAATGACTCCAAGGACCATATTATTGGGACAGGATTGCAAAGACCTCCTTCAGGTCCAGGTGTTCTGCTTTTAGTGATTGAACCATGGAGAGGTGTGTGGGAGCTTAGAGAGGGGCCAGGATGGCTGGGGGGATGGGGGAAGCACTAAGAAGGCTCAAGGTAGCAACTATTTATGAGCAATTCTGGTGGTATTTTAATATTTGAACAATTGGAACAGCTGTACTACTGTATACCAGCTGGACTGAAAAGTAGAGACTTGTGGAGTGATTCAGTGTAGTTAGGAAATTAGATTACCAGTTAGAGTTCCTGATACTGCCATTTACTCACTGCATGATCTTAGATAAGTCAGTTCTTGGAGCCTCTATTTTATGTTATGCAAAATGAGAATATTAAATAAGAAGAGCCTTAGATTCCTTTCCTGTCCTAAGAATATGTTCCTCCCCACAAATGATCTGCAAGTTCTATGCATAGAGTATAGCATTGTTTCTGAGCTTCTGAAAAGCAGAAAGACTGGTGTTTCATTAGGAGTGTGGGGCAGACCATGCTCTCTGATTTGTGAAGATGTCACAGTCCAACAGGACTGAAGCCAGCAGGAACCATGCCACACTGTGCTGTCAGAAGCAAGACAAGAACAGTTAGATACTTTTTTATATACAGCCTAAAAATATTTTTTAAAGATTAATAGTTTTCAATGTTGGGAGGAATTTATTGCAGAATAATGTGTTAGTTTACTACAGAAATCAAATAAATGTTGCTTTTGTTTGAAATTGCCTAAGCAAGCAAGAGCAGATACTTTGAAGTTTTTGTTGTTTGCCTAGATTGCAAAAAGTTCCCTTGACTCTTCATTTTTGTGTCCTTTGTTTGGTTATTGATATATATTTTTTAAATTCAATGAGTATATTACAGTATCTCCATGGAAATATATAAGCACACATTAATAAGTAATGTCATGCCTACAGAAAGTGAGAAGAGTCCAACATAACTTCAACCTAGATGTGTTTTCCCCCAAAATTGTTTAATTCAGTTGAGTTGAAAATTACTTTCCAATTTATATCAAATAATTAAAAAACATTTATATGTATGAGAAAGTGCTCAACATAATTATTTATTACTTTATCAGGAGAAGAAAAAAATTATGATTTCTAAAGCACATGCTATGTTAGAAAACTTGCTGATGAATAAATACCTACACATGTATTTCTTTGGCATGCCTATACAAATGATAGTTTAGTAAAATGAATAGATTCTGTTTTAATATCTTGTGGCTTATTGTACCTGACAAATAGAAATGGGGAAAATGAAGAATTGATTAGGTCATTTTCTTGAAACTTGCACATAATTCCCATTTATGCTTGTTAGATAAAGAAGAGCCATTCTACAACAAATTAAGAATATGCATAACCTGTTATGACATAGTCATAGATATATAGTAATATGGTCTAGAATTATGGTACTCCCTTAAAGTACATCATATGCAAAATTCACTGGGGGTGTCTTAAAGACATCTGTTGTAATTATAAGAACGTGGTTTCTAATTTATTTAATTCCCTTTCCTTCCTAAACTGTACATATAAGTGAATTTTAAGAGACTGTATAAATAAATTTTTAATTACAAAATGATGTTATGTAATACATTATTAATAATAACCAATAATGCATAATGTTTATGCATGAATCCATTAGAAAAATGAACTAATATATGTCAATTATAAAGAATGCACTAATTAGTCCTGAATCTGTGAATGAAGTTGAACTCATGCTGCAAGCTAGTGAGTGCAGTAACACCGAGTGGTTTAGCATGCTATTATGTAGTTAGGAAACATCTTGTAACCTATGGCATATAAGAAGTATTTAAGATTTATTCAATACATATGATCAAGATTTTTCAGTGAGCCATGGAGTTGTGAAATTTGGAATAAGATCATTGAGTTGACAATACTAGTTTTCCCAAACAAGTAGAGAATAAAATGGTCCATAGCATTCAAGAAATGTGCACAGTTCTTCCATTCCAACATAGGGAAATCTGTCTTCTTCTAATAGGATTTCCATGGGCAGCCATATGCTCTGCCATAACACGGAGACTTCATTGCTAACGATAACAGATTTCTGAAATCTCCATGGCCAGCTCCAGACACTCACCAGTCTCATGGCAAGATTCAAAGAGGCTGCAGTCCATGTCACAGTTGCAGTTGCAGTCATTCCGAGAGTGGCTTTCATCTGAGGTGTGGTGATACCTGTGAGAGGGGCAGCACAAATTGGTACATACCATTTCACATGTATCGGGGAGCATCAGGAGACAATCCCAAAACTGGCAAAACAGACAGGCAAGGATAAGGGAGGCACACTCCTCTGTTTAAAGAAAAAGAAAGAAAATTAATAGTGGCACATGCGGAGACATCTATGAAGAGCAGGCAGGTGCAGTAGCATACTTGACAACTTTATTGCCAACTAAAATAATTTGTCCACATTAGGTGCAATGTACACCATCTCCTCTCACACTTTCCCACCCCTATGCAGTACTCACTCTACTTAAGTAATGACTTTATTAACTTCCTGAGCATTTCCTATTGATTCCACATAATCAGGCTATTTAAAGTGTTGTCACTTTTCTAAACTCCTTTATTTATTTACTTGGCCTGTAGAGGTGCTGGGAAGACACATAACCTGAAACCTTGCAACTGTCCATCAAATAGCAGGGCCTTCCTAGTGCATGGAGCATTCAGGAGCAATTAGAGTTAGGAATGAAGAAAGATACAAATTTCTGGATTCTCATCACAAGGCTTTCTTATTTGTTTGAAGTTGATTCCCATAAATGTGCCATATCCATGTTAAAATGAAAACAAACAAAGCATTTCAAAACCTAATACCAATAATTTTTAACTAATCATAGTTTTTTTGTTGTATTTTATTTTTAATCTTGTCTTCTTTTTCCTCCAGTTATATAAAGCCTTGGTTTTATATTCATGTTAGACTACATCATTGTATTCCTAAAGGGTATAAATCTTATCAATTCTTTTTAAGAAAACTGGTTTAAAAATTTACTATGCAGACTGTTAAAATCTGAAAAGTATCTGTAAGGCCTTGAAGGTAATTGGTAATTCTAGCCAAACAGCTGTTACAGGTTATAGATTATTATATTTTTGTTTTCATAAAGGGAATTAGTTAGACGTAGGAGCAGTTCTCTTGTTAAAATTTTAACTTTCCTTTTTATTAAAAATATCTCCAAAACACATGAGGGTTTTGTGTTCACATGACATATCTAGTTAATTAAAATCAATATCCTGAAAGTTGTTGATGTTTAAAAGTAACATGCTAGCATAAATTGGAGAAACATTTCCCACTCCTGATGGGCTTATTAATCCATTAAAGGTAAACTTTCATAAGGATTTATTTTTTTCTCAATAAGAATGTTAATAACTTTTGTTTTTCAGACTTGAGTTGACTGAGCCTGCAGCAGAGACTTTGCTGTCTGAGTCTCTGAGTTATCTGCTAGAGTATGCTATGTATTCTTAAATTCCCATTCATTTAATTTTAACACATTTTCTGGAAAACTTTTTATTTTATTGTTCATATAGTTGTTAATCTTTAAGAGAGAAATAAGAACATGGAAGCTTTCTGTATAAAGGAATAAATGTTTTAAAGGAAGCTATTTTAATTTCTTTTTAAAAAAACAACATATAGCTATGTAAATGTCTAAAGCGAGGCTGACACGTGGGTAAACAGAAATCTTCCTTCCTGGCTCTACCCCTCTCCCTTGGTCCTGCCCCTCTTTTCTTCCCAATAAAAAGTGGTAAAGAACCACACCATGACTTTTATGGCTACGTTAATTGCCATATATTGTTGCAGGTGCTGTGGCTATTACCCAATATTTATAGTGCAGGCAGCATATTCCATAATACCTCTACGGTGTACATTCTCATCACTTTGCCAGACTGAGTGTATTTTTATTCACTCAGAGCCAGTTTCTAGCATGAGGCCAACTCACCCAGATCTCGTAAGTCACTACAAAAATTCAGGAGTAAGTTAGTACAGTACATAGACTCTATTTTGTGTACGCATTTCTGAACCGGGCAGGTTGGTGGTAAAAGATCTGGGGCATAAAACCTCATCAAGTTTCACTAATGCCAAGACTGCTGCTACAGCAGCCCCTGGCAAAGAAGAAGTCCTTAGCAGAAAATATTCCTAGCAAGTGCTCCGTGATCTGTTAGGCTGGAAGCTCAAGAGACTTACTCAGGGCATGACCATATAAAAATGATCCCATTAGATCCTGTCCTTTTAGAGGAAACATTCAAAGTTTAGTTTGGAGGTAAGTCAGGCAGGTTGCAGGCTAACTTGTCAGGGTAGCAGCTCGTGTTTCCTATCATAAGGTGAAGAAGTTGTTTGTGAAATAGCCTTATAATTTCCTGAGGGCATATAACATTTCAGTTAAATTCCAATAGCCAAGGTCACTGCAAGTTGGCACATACCGGAGATCTCTGTTTCTGATGTTTAATATAGATTTTATTTACAAAAAAAAGCTTTTGCCTAATCCTTTGGTTAAATTCATATTTTTTCCCTCCCATCCTATTTTGTACTTCAGAATAGAGCCCATGTTTTGTAAGTTAATCCTTTTTATTTGATTATAAAAGGCAGAACCTCTTGCCCCCCAAACACATCAACATTAATGAACTGAAAACAGATTTTTCCCAACTTTCAAGTGTGTTCCACACTGTTCCTGAAAAGCATATTAAATGATTCTACATGAGCAGGCTAACCTAATTTGTATATTTTTGTGTGTGTGTGCGCGCACAAAAGTAACATGAGCAGTTCAGGGGAAAATTTGTAACTGTTTGAAAAACAAAGTTGGACTTCCTCTTCTCCTGAAGGGATATATTTTCTTTGCCTATAATCTTCATTGGGACTTTAATGTTTAATAAGCATGATGTTCAAAGTCATAGCCCATGATTGCCACCACTTCTCCCAGTCCATCCAAAGGTGGTTTCCATGCTGTCAGTGGGTCATTTCACATCTCTTATGCACTGTCTTCAAAATATCTCACACTTACCAAGGTCAAATTGCATCAAGGGTCTCCCTCTCTGCCATTCCACAAACTTGTCCTTTGTCCAGTTTTTTTTTTCTGGTGCACCTGAACATGCAGAGGAACTCAAAGAAACCTGGAACTCATTCTTGTCGTTTTCATCTTCCTCATCATACCCTCCCATCTGATTCTTTGCTGAGTCCTGCTGATTCTATCTCAAATTCCTTTTTGGAATCCATAAGTTTCTATCAGCATCCTTAGTTCTAGCCACCTCTGGCCAGCCACCATCATGTCAACAGCAATAGCCTGCTATCAAGGACGCTACTTTCACATGAGCTCACCTCAAATTCACCAGCTATTGTGATATGTTTAGTCATAAATTAGAACAATTCACTCTTTATCTAAAGTCCCAAATCCTTGCCATAGCCTGCAAGCCCCTGCATGATCCGGTTCTTGCCCGTTTCTCTAACTTCTGCCCTACTCTTCTCCTTACTTATTGCATTCCTGCCCACTGGCTAAATTTCAGTTCCTGGGATATATCTAACTTAGGGCCTTTGCACATGTTCTACCTTTGGTCTGTGTGCATACCCTCTGTTCACAACTTGAAGGACCTATTTCTTACCCTTTGTGTCTTTACCTCTAAATAATTTCCCTCTAAATCACATCCTTGCTGAAACTTTCATAGTACCCTGATTTATTTTTTCCTAACCACAGAATATTAAACTAATTAGTTTCTTCTGTACAAGAATGAATAAATGAACAATAAGGGGTAAATAAAGTGTACCACCAGAGGGCAGTGATGGGAAATGGGAAGGTGGGAGAAAGTGAAAATCTGGGCTCCTCCTTTTGCTCTGCTCTGAGTGGAGTCAGTCAGTGGTTGTATCTTCTCCTTGGGATTCTCTCTCTCTCTCTTTTTTCTTTTATATAATCTTTATTGTATTTTTCCCTTTATCATTTAGTCCACTTTTATCCCCCTCCTCCCAGCAACCACTACACTGCTGTCCATGAGTCCTTTTTCCTTTTTGCTTAATCCCTCCACCCCTTAACCTCCCCACCTCCTTAGCTGTCATTCTTCTTTCCATCTATGAGTCTGTCCCCATTTTTCTTGTGAGTTCAGTTTGTTCATTAGATTCCACATATGCGTGAAATCATAAAGTATTTGTCTTCTCTGACTGACTTACTTCACTTAGCATAATGTTCTCCAGGTCCATCCATACTATCACAAAGGATAAAATTTTCTACTTTTTTTATAGACTAGTAGTATTCTATTGTGTAAATATCCCATAGTTGTTTTATCCATTCATCTATTGATGGACGCTTAGGCTGCTTCCATATCTTGCTGATTGTAAATAACACTGCAATGAACATAAAGGTTCTTTCAAATTAGTGTTCTGGACCCCTTTGTATATATTCCCAGAAATGGGATAGCTGGGTCAAAAAGCAGATCCATTTTTAATTTTTGACAGATCTCTATACTACTTTCCACAGTGGCTATACCAATCTGCATTCCCATCAACAGTACAATAGGGTTCCCCTTTCTCCATGTCCGCACAAGTACTTGGTGCTTGTTGATTTATTGATGATAGCCACTCTGACAGTTGTGAGATGGTATTTCATTGAGGTTTTAATTTGTGTTTCTCTGATGATTAGTGGCATTGAACACCTTTTCATATGTCTATTGGCCATCTATATGTCCTCTTTGGAGAAGTGTCTATTTAGGTCCTTTGCCAATTTTTTAATTGGTTTTTTTCTTTTTTTTCTTTTTTTGGTGTTTAGTTTTGTAAGTTCTTTATAAATTTTGGATATTAACCCCTTATCAGATGAATGGGAAAACATGTTATCCTATTCTGTGGGCTGTCTTTTTATTTTGTTGATTATTTTTTCTGCCATGCAAAAACTTTTCAGTTTGATGTAGTCCCATTTGTTTATTTTCTCTTTTGTTTCCCTTGCCTGGGGAGATATATCTGATAAAATATTGCTACAAGCAATGTCCGAGATTTTGCTGTCTATTTTTTTCTACAGCTTTTATGGTTTCAGGTCTAAGACTCAAGTCTTTAATACATTTTGAATTTATCCTTGTGTGTGGTGTAAGAAGGTGGCCTAGTTTCATTTTTCTGTATGTATCTGTCCAATTTTCCTAATTCCAACTATTGAATAAATTATTTGTAACCCATTGTATGTGCTTGCTTCTCTGTCAAATATTAATTGACTATAAACGGATGGATTTATTTCTGGGTTCTCTATTCTGTTTCATTGATCTATATGTCTGTTTTTATGCCAGTACCATGCTGTTTTAATTAATATGGCCTTGTAGTATTGTTTGATATTAAGT